CTTTCGGCTCTTTAGATTGATGAGACGACTAATCAGTAACACTGAGGTTGCTCTTATACGCTTGCTACTTCTGTGGTTCATGTTTCCAAAACTATGCTGAGGTCGCTATTCTGTCGAGACACCTGCAACATTCTTACTCAGGCGCTTACAGTATGACTTAGAGGTTGGCATTCAATAATAAAGAAAAAAAACAGTTAGACAGTGCGAGATTTTATTCGTCAAATATTTATTTTTACAAACTCTACTCTTTTAACTAGAATTTCGATTTCAACGTACATAAATCCAGCTTCTTACTTCGACTTCTCTTCTATCCACCTGACACTGCACAACTCTCCCTTCTTTTTGCTGTACTCCTTTATCTGTGCGTTAAATTCTTATATTCCCATAATTTACTTTAATTTAAGTGGTCAGTATGGATGTTATCTTGACTTACTACTGTATTGACTACTTCAACATTACAGGTTAAGTAGTGCTTTGGTTATATATATACACTTGCCACACTGCTGCCTTTTCCTCTCTCTCTTCTCCTTTTCAGAACCCCATTCACGGTGGGAAATCCTTGGCGACTCTAGGGAACATGCACCCTATGTACATGACTGTCTGGATCACAGCTCGTATCAAGCGCGTTCCATATGATCTTTCCCAACAAATTCACTATTGATCTCGGCCAATCGCCAATAGAACCTATTGTGCACCTTCCTCATTTGTACTCTAATATTGAAAATGTGGCTGTATAATACTGTTTCTGTCAGTGATATGGTGTAAATATGCAATCAGAAACTGTCTCTTATACTTAATTTAACTGCTATAACTTTTACAGTAATTGTAAAAGCATTTGTGACAATTTGATCTAGCCTGTAAACTGGCGTGACTCTTGTAACTTAGTTATTTGAGAATAAATTATTATTACTAGGTTAAAGGTCCAGAAGCCGATAACATCTCGTAACAAACCAACGACGGCATGTTGGTTATGTGGTGATTGACACTACGTACAATTTTGTCCATTTAAAAAACATAAATGTCAGATGTGCCATAAACGTGGACATGAAGAAGGCCATTGCCAACCAGATCGTACGTCGCAGCCCAAGAAGAAGCGCAAACGTACTCGACATGTGGTGAAATCAGCCGAGTCTAAATCACTTTCTCTCTTAGCTGCTTTTCAAACAGAATATGACGTTCGGAGAAAGTATGTTACTATCCAGATGAACGGTTCGTCAGCTCGTTTCCAAATCGACACGGCATCAGATATCACCTTAATGTCTAGAGAAACGTACAACATGCTGGGAAAACCGCCAATGAAGCCATCTAAGAAAACAGCTAAAAGCGCTTCAGGTGGTGTGTCAAAACTGGTTGGTGAGATGCAGTGTGAATTTTCCTTCAACGGGAAAGAATGCACAGGAATATGCTATCTGACAGAACGGCCAAACCTTGATCTTCTTGGTCTAGATATGCTAGAAAAACTGGGAATAATGGATGTACCCATTAATAGTGTCTGCAACATATCGTGTTCATCATTGGATACCCCGATACTTAAAAAGAAGACAGGTGAAAGATTACGTGAAAAACTGAAGGAAAAGTTTGCCTCTGTTTTTCAGAATAACCTTGGCCTCTGTACCAAGATGAAAGCTCACTTACCATTGAAATCAGATGCGAAACCTATTTTTCGTCCTGGACGTCCTGTACCATATGCCACTCTTGAGCTAGTCGATCAGGAACTTAATCGCTTACAACAGGCCGGGGTAATTCAACCTGTCGACTACTGTTCATGGGCCGCACCGATCGTAGTGATTAAGAAAGCTAATGGAACTATACGCATTTGTGCCGATTTCTCAACTGGTTTAAATGCTGCATTGGATGTGAATCAGTATCCGTTACCAGTTCCTGAAGATCTGTTTGCCAAGCTTAATGGTGGTACATGTTTCGCTTAAATAGACTTTTCCGATGCCTATCTACAAGTAGAAGTAGATGAAGATAGTAGAGAGCTCCTGACTATTAACACCCATCGAGGGCTATTTCAATACACTCGTCTACCATTTGGCATCAAGACCGCACCGGCTATCTTTCAGCAAATAATAGATACGATGCTAACAGGTATACCTGGGACAGCAGCTTATCTAGATGATATCATAGTTATGGGTTCAAGTGACAGTGAACTATCAGATCGACTACATCAAGTCCTTAACCGAATGTTGGAGTATGGTTTCCAACTACGTGAAGAAAAGTGTATCTTCTTCATGCATTCGATCAAATACCTTGGTTTCATCTTAGATAAGAACGGTCGCCGACCAGACCCAGCCAACATCGAAGCCATTCAGAAGATGCCTGCACCAACTGATGTCTCTTCATTAAGATCTTTCTTGGGGTTAATCAGTCATTACAGCGCATTCCTGCCTGAAATGCATCGAGTGAGAGGTCCCTTGAACGAATTACTATCAAAAGATAAACCTTGGCAGTGGTCAGCAGAATGTCAAGCATCTTTCGATAAAGTCAAGTCGATGCTCAGCTCAAAGCTTCTTTTGACACACTTCGACCCCAGCTTGGGAATTGTTATTGCATCTGACGCCTCTAGTTATGGAGTTGGAGCAGTGATATCTCATGTGTTTCCGGATAAATCAGAGAAAACAATTGCCCATGCTGCCAGATCTCTCACCCCAGCCGAGCGAAATAACAGTCAAATTGAGAAAGAAGCTCTTGCAATTATTTTCGCTGTCAAAAGATTTCATAAAATGCTTTATGGTCGTAAGTTTACGCTACTGACAGATCACAAACCTTTGATTGCAATCTTTGGTTCTAAGAAAGGAATCCCTGTCTATACGGCTAATAGATTACAGCGCTGGGCAACGATGCTCCTGAGTTATGATTTCAATATCAAGTATCAGTCGACAAATACTTTCGGTCAAGCGGACGCTCTCTCTCGATTAATTGGAGTTCAGCATCCTGAACCAGAGGACATAATCATTGCCTCAACAGCAGTAGACCCAGAAATAAGGAGTGTAGTAGCAGACGCCATTCGAAACACTCCAGTGTCGTCAGAGGAAGTCAGAGAAGAAACTCTTCGAGACCCACTTCTACAAGAAGTTAGAAAGTTTCACCTGGAAGGTTGGCCTTCGAAGATCAACTCTTCAGAGCTTCAACAGTTTTACCAGCGTAGACTCTCTCTTTCAATCATCGACGACTGCCTGCTGTTTGCCGAACGAGTCATAATTCCAGCGAAGCTACAACCAGCAGTGCTAAAACAGTTGCACGTGGGACATCCTGGAATAAATCGCATGAAAGCACTAGCACGAAGTTATGTATACTGGCCGCACTTAGACACCCAGCTAGAGCAGCTATCCCGTTCGTGTACGAAATGTGCATTAGCAGCAAAAGCACCGCGCAAAGCAGAGTTGCAATCATGGCCAATACCACAGTCACCGTGGCAGCGTATACATTTGGACTTTGCTGGTCCACTTCATGGACATACTTACCTTCTGGTAGTTGATGCATACAGTAAGTGGCCAGAAATTTTCTTGATGAAACACCAAACTGCAAGCTGTACAGTCAGTAAATTACGTAAACTATTCAGTCGTTTCGGAGTCCCGGAATTGATAGTTACTGACAACGGGACACAGTTTACGTCCGCAGTCTTCTCGCAATTTTGCCGGCAGAACGGAATCTGTCACGTCCGAACACCTCCATTCCATCCGCAATCAAATGGCCAAGTAGAACGCTTTGTGAGCACATTTAAAAATGCTCTAAAAAAATCCAAAGGGGAGGGGACCACCGAAGAGATCTTAGAGAGGTTCCTGCTTATTTATCGCTCTACACCGAACCCTCAGACGATTGACGGAGTCTCACCTGCGGAAGCTCTACTTGGTAGAAAATTACGAACACATTTTGATGTCATCCGTCCTACACCAGCTCTTGAGCCTCGGCGAAACCTGTCGATGGAGAAGCAGTTCAATCGACACCATGGGGCAAAAAGACGATCGTTCACAGTGGGCCAGAAAGTACTTGCTATGGACTATCGTGGAAAACATCCTGCATGGACAGCTGGTCGGATTTTAAAAAAGAAAGGAAATGTGACTTATGAGGTGTCAGTTGGCTCAGAAGTTTGGGTACGTCATGCTAACCAACTGAAAGAAACTTCGATAGCCAGCAACGGGACTCGGCACCGAATACCCCTCGACGTTCTGCTGGACACCTTCAAAATCAAAACGCCGGGAACACACAAGTCAGTTTCTGTGCAAGCAAAGAGTGACACAACTTCGTTATTGCCGAGAAGATGGAGTAATCGAAAGTACAAGCCAGTCACTCGGTTGCAGTTGGACCCTAGCACCAGATCCTATGAATCTTCTCAAAGGGGAGGTGTTAGTGGGACAGAGATGGATTTAACGCATGATTACGTCACTACGCGCTGATTGGCTGATTTCCTACCCAATCAGCGCCTGATCGAAGCTTGGAGAACAGGATAGAAAATTCTCGTATTATTAGCTGCACGCTGATTGGTCAAATCCAGTCCAGTCGATCACGTGAATTTCCTTCCAGAAGTTTTCTCATGCAAAGGCTATAAATAGACTAGCATTGTATTTATCTTGGCCTTCAAGCCTTCTTAGCCTTCTAGCCTTCTTCGCTTTCAAGCCTTTTTGCCTTGGCTTTCGCCATCACCTCCAGCTTCTTTTCCTTGCTATTTTGGAATACAATCCTTCCTGTTCAACCGTGTTTTGATTTGTGTTACCTGTCCAGTGTTTTGTGTCAAGAATACTAAGCAATAAGATTTAGCCGGGAAGTATCGTAAGCAACCGTTACAACAATGGGATTCCTATTCTCGTTGATAGAGGCTGAAAATGAAATGATTATGCTAAGGGGCTGAATTTTCGCCACCTGCATTCTGTAAGCTTATATAACAGCTTACAAACAAAAAAGTGATAACAAAACAGACATAGACATGAAGGCATATGTAGAACACGATCGATGCCGAACTTTGATACCCATTTAATCCATCTTAGACAATATGTTCCATGTGTGCTCATATTCTGGCTCAAAGCGAGTTATGTTCATCGCTTCTTGAATTAGGTATAGTCACCATCAAAAACAATCGTCTCAACTTGCTTCCACCGACTTGGTATGATTAGAAATCTCTAAAATTGTAATGCGCATGGTTTAAGCAACACTTTAAGGATTGGTGAATGAAAAATTTTGTACTCGCATATACATAGATAAACATATTTAAATAATATACTCTCAACGGAAATATTTCATGCTCGTGTTATTCTATAAGCATGATTGTAAGGGATGGTTAGATCTTTTTCTACTTAAAAATTCATTTGACCTTTAGACGGCTAGTCGACCTTGTCTTTCGTTTTGTTTAAAACTGCCGGCTTGTCGATCAAGGAAGGCTTTGATTTACATGTAATAAGTTGTGCAACGTTGTAATCAGGTACGTGATTCGCGTCCCTAGTTTAAAGTAATGGTTCCTAATTACGTGAATGTCGTGCGATAAGTATATTTAATATTTTGTTCTAGTAATTTGATGACCAGTTACATGACGTACAAGTTTTCGCTACTTATATACTTCATGAATTTCTAAGAGTGAAATCTTCATTTATTTTGAAACAGAAACGTAAAATCAGACGAAAGTCACACAAAAGTTTCTTTTAAAACTTGTCCCTGAGTCCATCAACAAAAGGTTCAATAACGTCAGTCGAATAAATTCAGAGTGAAATCCCGTCTTCACTGAGTGGCTTGACCACAAAAGCATCTTTGTGGTTGTTGCTTATGGATTTCAACCACGATCTGATCAAATGCTTAAAAAACACGTTTACTTGTCCTACTATGAGGATATTGGAAAGTTTCGTCTGTATTCCAGATTCTTTACTGCACAATCTTTCTCTTACTGTCGCCCCGAACCTTATTATTGCTGTATAAACGATCTTACATCGTAATAACGAGCGAGAACACTCATCTGCTTGCGCATAGTTGTGGTGGCGTTATCCGTGCAAAGTTGGGCAAGTTTTATTCGTTTTTATTTGTAGTAAAGCCCTTCTTACTGTGAGTTCCAATAATGTGAACCGGAACTCACAATGCACTACTTAGTCTATTTCATAGTATCGCAGAAAGAGGCCACGAAATATGCTGAATCGGAGTTGCGGTCGAGCAGGGAGACCCACTGTATTTCGTAAAACCGTTTGTATGTCTTGATTGTAAATCTAAGACCACAAAATTTGGATATGTTCATGTGCTCTCTTACTCTTAAATTTATTAGACCTACTCGCCATTTATCTTTCCTTCATGTCTTTGTTTCGGTCTCGCCGTATATAAGACATATGGCAAGTTGAAGTAACGCCTACGTCTTGTTCTCAAACTAGCTCTAAAATGTGAAACATTCAAATACATTATCAGTTGTTTATGATTTATATTCAAGAACATTCAAAAGTATGTACTTTGCATTAGGTCTAATCACTTAGTTGTAACCGTTTTGTTAGATCCAAACCCCATTCCACTAACTTTGTGCAGTCTCGCGGTATGTGGCATTCCTGTAACAATCCATTTCGAACTATTTGCTAATATCACAGGATGATAATTTTTCCGTGTTGTCTAGCCGGGTTCATATTATTGATGAGAGAAAGTTATTATTATTCCTCAAAATTTTGATTTATCTTCGTGACAGTCTTGCTTAAAGGTATCTACCTTATGATCTGTTTCGTATTTTATTCGTAGGAAATATTCTCAAACTTTGATTGCATGCATAAACATTGGTTCAAAAAGAAAATTAATATCAAGGCGATAAACCTGATCAAAGTCTAAAGCTTCTCTCAACCCCCAATCTTAAATTTCAGCTTTCTAAATTTTGGTTCCCTCATGCTACTCCTTTTAGCAACACTCTTTTTACTAACATTCATATAACGGTCCCAATACCGTGATGTCTAATAACCTAAACAATAAACATTTCCTCCAAAGTGTATGTTGATCATGGCTGACTCGTCCCAAAATATTAGCTTATCTAAGTGCTATCAAATAAATTGCGCTATTTTTTGCATTCTTTGTTCATACAACTTGAACCGATACGTGAGTCATGTATTACATATGAAACTGCTCACAACCGCGCGATGACATTCAATACACCCGAAGTATCAAACCCTTATTTAAGTGAATACAAATCTCAATGTAAGTGACTAATTGGTATAGCCTTAGTCTAACATGGGAATTCAGAATAACTAGTACCATGTACATTTGACATACAAGGAACCAATTATGTGGTTGGGATGTGTATTACGTATTCCCGACCACCAACTACCTCGGACGATGTTGTCTGGTGTTGGGGTGGGTCGGAAGAAAGCTACGGGCGGCCACACCATAACGTGGCACAAATCCACCCAGTCACTGACAACTGGACTGAGCCACGTTAATAGGTGTAGACTACCTATTTAGTGTCCGTGAGATATATTAACCGAAAGTTCGGTAGTTTGAATGACATGACTGAAAATCGTTTGCAATGGCGTGGATACATCCATTCTTTGTCTTCTCTTTAAATTAATTTCACTGGATTATATCTTTGGAATCATATCTTCGACCCTTAATCTCTTCCCTTACCGTTAATACTGCTACTACCCTTACTATTATACGTAACACGTGTCCCAACCACCTCAACTGACAATCAGTCACTACTTCATCACTTGACTTGCTATACTTACCAAGTAACCAATTCTTAACACCAGCATTGCTTACTCGATGGTCTCAGGATATACGAGCAATGCTTCAAAGACACTGATGGTCGAATATTTGCAATCTGCGAATATCCTCTGACCTTAGTGTCCATGTTCCACATCCGTATAGAAAGACGGAGCGGGCTGATACTCAGTTAACTCGTTAAATTCCAAAAACAGTAATAAGCGGTTGATTGACACAGGTCGATCGATAGTTGCCTCATTTGGCAAATGATCTAATCATCTAAACCACAAGCAAAATATTTACAATGTCTCACTGGGCTCCTAAGTGCGACCAGACCTATGTGATCCTCAGTTAGTGGATATCCGGGAAAATACACAATAGTTCAAACTATGGGTCAGTAGGCAAATTTTTCGATCTTTTAGTCGATCCATGTAACTGGTTAAAATCTGACTCAATTGCTTAGGGACATAAAGGAACTAGGTTTCTCAATTTTGAGCACAACGGTCGTTATGCTATATTTAGGATGAGCTTAGTTAACGTTTGTAACGTCTAAGTTTGCTTCTACTTGTGTCTAAAATTCTGCATTCCATAATGCTACGAGTATTGTGAGAAATTTCAGAAGGCTGGTTCCGAATGAAAAAAATTATTCTTCGTTCAGTTCATGAACGTACTAACATATTAACTCTACCAATCATCAGTAAGCTTATATGGGTCTTTCCACTTCCCTTATGTCTTGTCAATAGAATTCTAGATTATGTACTTCGTAGTATAAATTTCTTACCTACTCATAGCTTTTCAGCTTTAAGTACGTAGATGGTAGTCTTACTGTGAGTTAACATAAACTACTTCTATCTGAAGTTTTTGCGGATGATGTTCAGAAGAACATTGAAAGCTCCACAACCAAAACATCCAGCTCAGACAACGAAACACCACCACAATCATCCACCTGAGCTACAAATTTTCTTCAACATCACATAAACTACCCCCTATTTAACTGAATTAACGATCTATTTCAGTAAGTTGTATAAACACTGTGCTGTCGAAATCTGAAATGTTTCCAAAAGACTAATCTCGCAGAATCTGTTTTCTCACTGATAATTTCATAAGTGGTCAAAAATGGTTTAAAGGCTTATCTGTGCTCTATGATGAAACTCAACGATCGTTGAGCTATAGATTCTCATTAAATTCCCCATGATTTTCTTTTTCATACGATTGGAGAGAAGCCAACCATATCCACGTTTGGTTCGTGTTTCTATACCTTAAACTGAACATAATGTTAGATAACTGGCACACATCTCAATAAACTATTCTCTGTTGGTTTGATCTGTCCCTATACCGACTGTTTTGGAACACATCTCACCCACTCATCTATTGATATGGGCTGGCTGTATTATCAACCCTACATCTAAAGATTCTTGTTTTTATCTTCGATGTATTGAACTGTTTCCAAGCCTGTTTTAGGACCCGTCTGGGCCATCACTTGTTTGTTTAGTGCATTGGTTGCTACTTATGTTAGGATTCTTACCAACCGTAGTGCTTCAGTTTCAGGTCCGGAATTATAGCAGCTTAGGTTAGTACACAGCTGTGCTAGCTGTAAGTTGATTATGACTGACCAGTTACTATTCCCTTAACTCAAATGTCTTTAATAGGCCTTACTAACTCTTTAGCATTACCTATCGCCCCTGTTTTCCACCCCTTGCTTTTATTACCCTCCACTAGCATACATTAGATCGACTTTTTGTCTGTTCTTGATTCTTACATTTTTTTAACCCTGCATGACTGAGTTTTCAAACTTCCACTAATTCTGTTAAAGCTGGGAACGTTCGCTGAGCCTTCTGAAATCTTTTCTTCGGATCTCTAGTAAACATTACGTTTGACTTCTGAGCAGTCTAAAAATTTTATCTAGCTATCTAAAAATAAAATTTTTAATTCTGAAGTTTCTAACTAGTTTCCTAAATAAAGTCTTAGCATTTTAATCCTTGAGTGCAACCTTAGTGGATGCCTCTGGAACGATTTTTTATGTCAAGTAATATTCGGACATATGTTCACACTCAACTTGTGATCCTAAAGAATCTACAGTATTCTATGAGTACTCTTCGATATTGATTGAATTTTTTGATTGATCTTTTTGGTCCACTATTTATTCTTTGTTGGTCATCAGTTACAACAATTTGTAGTTGTGTAAAGTTAGTACTTTTTGGAAACAAGTAGTTGTCGAAGCTAAGTTGCAGCCGCTAGGATTTTTGGTTTCCTTACTCTACCTGCTTTAGCGTTAATATCATTCATTACGATTACTGACATTTGAGAGATGTCACAATGCTGGGCATGGATGTATATTTTATTTCGACTCGGCTACAGACAATGTGTCTAGATAGAAATTAAAACAGAAAATATCATATATCTGCATGTTTCTCAGTTCTTACAGCTCCGCCTAATCAAATAGCATTTAGGCGACTGCTGGATGTACTCCAATCTCTCCTGGTCCCAAAATTTATACCATACATACACCTTACTAAACTATCTGGCATCTAGTTATCTAAAGAATGAATTGTGCCAGTTCGCCATACTAGTTTGATGTAATTAAATGAATACCCACTTCTTCTGGGCACGGATTTCTGTCTGAAAGTCTATAGTTTTCGCAAGTAAAATCCGTTGTTTGATTCGACCCGTTTGGAAGCTTTATGTAATTCTAGACACAATTATAAATCGGAACTATCAATCCGTAAGACACGAATAGTTACAATTAGTCACTTTTAAGAAAAACTGTCTAGTGAAGAAGGATCCTGACTTCATCGCTATCACCTTTAGCTGAGGTTTGAGAAATTTTTATTTTCTGCTCACTGTTTCCCGAAATGTATGTTGTGCCTGTGGAGGACACTCGTGAATTTACCACTTGATTATTAGGTGGCCAGAATTATCGCACCATATTATCCTGCATATATGATGTTTTTACCGGTCTCAAAGTGCTCGCATCACTACTTAATCTTCCACCATAATGCCGCACACTAATCTCTGTTATTCCGCACTATCGTTTACCCATCTCATATATACACCACTCTGCTAATATTTGATTTTTTGTCATATTTCAGCTCTCAGCAAATGTGATTACGCCTACTGACCATATTTAGGTTTAGATGGTTCGTCTTAGTTTTCCCCATATGACCACTCCGCGCGTTTTGTTCATTAATGCTTATAGAATCCCATAGGTGAGTCAAGTAAACTATTATTTGCTTATTTTCATGAAATCTAACCGTCAACTTTGGTATATATGATATTTTACTTACTTACCATTACTTGTCCGTGCAAATGAAACGAATACTTGTATGTTTAACTCCACAAAGATCTAAATAAAACATTCCTAATTGTCAAGCCTTTCCCATATTCTTGCTTTCAATTCACCTTTTAATAATGTTCAAAATAGTCTGATTCTTGTGTGACTCACGTTCATTTTTATTGTATGCTACTTCGCGAAACTTGAGCTTAAACCAATTGTGCAACTGTTCTGTGATTGATTTGATTTTTTAAGTAATCATACAAAACCTTATGCGTCATCAAAATTGCCCTAATAATCGTTTTGACTTACGTATCGAGCAAACCACTCAAAATTGTTTGAAATAACTGTCAAATTCATGGTAAAGACCGAGAACAGTATCATATACTGATCTTAGACGACCTGTCAGCCAATAAGGAAACATAGCCTAGTTACAAAACAATCAACAGCTGAAAGCCACAAAATCTCAGGTGAATAATACCTCTCATTTGAATAACCAACCATCATATGTCGGCTGAGATTCAGGGCAGGAGTTAGGAAGAAAAGGACTGTTAGTGAGACTATCTCGAACAAGGATGGGACTATTATTGATTTTCAATCCAAGCGATGGATGGCTGAGCAGAACACATTAGGAAGTTGTTCAACTGGCCTTCAGCCATACTTCGGTTACCAACGATCTCCAGTTATTCTAAGTGGTAAGTTCATGTAAGTCCTCCGACTCTTGATGAGGTCCAAAATTTTATAGGCAGTCTAAAACGCTGGAAAGCAGCAAGACCTGATGGATTAACCCCTGAGATTTTTAAGAATGATAGTCCAGTTTTAGAGAGATTGACTAAGGCCTTAGGTAGCTGTTTAGGAACTGGACGCGGTTCTGTCTGACTGGTCTCAATCACTGGTTATCCCAGTCTATAAGAAAGGACACAAATCCTCTTGTGACAATCTTAGGGGAATCAGTTTGACTAATATAGTGTCTAAGATAACGGTTTAAGTAATACTCTGATGCCTAACTATAGCTGATGAAGAGCAGAATCGAGAAAATTTGAGTGGGTTCTGACCTGGATGTGGATGTATCGACCACATTATTCACACATCGCCAGGCCCTGGATCACAAGCATACGCTTCGGCGTCCCATAGTAGTCGTATTTTCTGATGTTAAGGAGGCATTCAACTCTGTCGACCATTAGTTTGTGTGGTAGTGTCCCTCATTGAAAGGTGTGCGACAGAAGTACACTAACCTTGTACAGGCTCTCTACTCGAATACTGCTGATCGAATGAGATCTTATGGTGGACTGTCGTGCGAATGGATTACCACGAGTGGTGTTCATCGGGGTTGTCCACTTTCTCCATTCTTTTTCATTGACGTGCACTTAGATACGACGCTTTCATCATCTGACTTTTCAGGGGTAGAATTTTTACCAGGAGATTCGCTCGTCGACTTAGAATATGCCGATGAAATAGTTCTATTTGTTGAAAACGCTGATAAAATACAGCCTTTTGACCACCATAAGCAACAAAGCAAAAATGTTTGGAATGCGCTTCTCTTCTTCGGAATGTAAAATGTTGCTTCAGGATTGGGTTGCATCGGCGCCTGAACTAGTGATAGTTGAGCGTGTCGAACGCTTCACTTATCTGGTGAGTCTCATCATTCATGATGACTTGCTCTGGCGAAATCTCATCCAATGTATTTTTGTCAGAGAATACTAAGTAATAGGAAAAGCTGGGTTTGCTAAAAGAGATTTATAACAAAAGCTCAATTGGCTTTTGCTAACTTGCGTCACTTATGGCGTAGGCGAGATATTCGTCTGCCCACCAAAGAACGCGTGTACTGCTCAGCAGTTCCATCAGTCCTACTTTATGGCTGTGAAACATGCCCAGTAGGAGTAGAAACTATTCGTAGGTTACAAATATTCGACCATCAGTGTCTTTGAAGCATTGCTCGTATATCCTAAGACCATCGAGTAAGCAATGCTGGTGTTAAGAATTGGTTACTTGGTAAGTATAGCAAGTTAAGTGATGAAGTAGTGAATGTTCGTCAGTTGAGGTGGATGGGACATGTTTTTCGTATTCCCGACCACCAACTACCTCGGACGATGTTGTCTGGTGTTGGGGTGGGTTGGAAGAAAGCTACGGGCGGCCACACCAAAACGTGGCACAAATCCACTAAGTCACTGACAACTGGACTGAGCCACGTTAATAGGTGTAGACTACCTATTTAGTGTCCGTGAGATAATATTAACCGAAAGTTCGGTAGTTTGAATGACATGACTGAAAATCGTTTGCAATGGCGTGGATACATCCATTCTTTGTCTTCTCTTTAAATTAATTTCACTGGATTATATCTTTGGAATCATATCTTCGACCCTTAATCTCTTCCCTTACCGTTAATACTGCTACTACCCTTACTACTATGAGATTTGAACTGGCCAGTCGATCTCTGTGTGCTAATGTGGTACGGAAACTTGAGCTGATGTGCGCATGTACCAAGTTTTACGTTATCTGACTGACTTAAAAATTATATTATCTGACTTCACTAATCACATACTTTGCATTAAATTGTCATAAACACTTTTTGCCTAGAGAGCGGTTATGTTTTTGTTAATTTAGCCCTAAGTACTATCCTAAATTCGCTTTTCTAATGACTCCAACTATTTAAGAAACCATGTATTTACAATTCCTACTTCGTTTATAATAACTTGCCGGTTATTAGTTTTGTAACACGTGTAATCAGCAGTCACTGAAATGCTGAGAAGACCTGAAACCACCGCAAAACGTTAACCAAGAACTTCACACCAAGGGGAGAACTCAAAGTGGTAGCCGCAAGTCCTTTATCTGAAAATTAAAATTCACGGGTTTTGTACAAAAGTAATGGCTTATTTACAATATAGTCTTGTGAGTCATCTTGCAGGTTCAGCGCACGCATGGCATGCTCTTCTCCTTCCAACACGTCTATCCTTGGTCGCCCTGTGATTGAAAGATAGCAGAATATTTTAATAACGCACGCCATACATAGCGATTTCAACACTGTTACAGTTTCTGCTCATTAAATTTCATGCAAAATATGTGGGACGCTATTTTAATTCCGATTGGTTCGCTCAAGGCCGAATTCGGATTACATGAAAATTGGTGAATTACTATCAACCACTGTCTGGCTAACTTCCAGTTCTTTTAAACCCATACACCATTCTGACATTCCCAACCTACAATATCTTATTTAGTAGTCAAATGATAAATACTTCCCATAACTGGTGCGTTTTCTTGATCACTAGGTTTGGGATCTAGATGATTTAGATACGTAATAATGTGTAAACGTTTTTAGTAAATACTAAACAAAATCTGCTTTATCATTCATCTTCTATGGCGTTAATCTATGCTTCATTTGCATCATTGAACTTTTGATGTGTTTATTTATTCAATGCAATATAGCTTATGTGTAGATTATCTTTTGCGTTTACTTGGGTTAAACTACCGGAACATTCCTGAATATGTTCGACCTTTTGTGAAGAAGTTGGACAACCTATCATAAATAGCATTCCCGACTTCGTCCTGATTTCCAAGTCACAGCCTCTACTAGTTTTTTTGTTTCGTTACCGTTTTTTGGTTAGATAGAAATTTGTCTCTACAAAATATTTCCATTGCTGCTGGTCTCATTCTGTCGGAAAATTGCTGCTTATAGTTCTGTGCACACTGCACTTGTTTTAATGATTTACATGCTCACACTTTTTATTTCACCTTATACAATTTATTGTTAACCTTCCAGTTTCTGATGTTTTTAAAACACCAACTGATTTTCTTTTTAATGATATTCTTCTCGTACTTCAGATTAACAAACAACTTTTGTACTGACCCCATTATCATCTATAAGTACTCTCAAAATCAAATGTGTTCATACTTTATTCGTACTTCAAAACCCGCTCTATAAGCAATTTCATTTTTCACGTTTTCTTCTCACAATCCTATTCAGTATCGTGTGCCGCGTGCATGTCTCTTAATCCTGATCAACCGAGTCTCGTTCCCGATGACCTGCTTGGTAATCAAGTTCATCAAGTTTCGCACAATAGTAATCGAGGTAACCTGGTGGGTACGTTAGGAATGGCTGCTGGTGTCCCGCCCTATGGAACAAATAATCCATCTGCCATGTCTGCTGCTGCTGCGGCAGCTCTTTTGATACAAGCTGCAGCGGGTGGTTCGGCAAGTGAATCACCCAGTAATGTGACCCTTTCTGGAAGACGTTGTTCGACTTCGAGCCTTCTAGAATCTCCACAACCATCTCCTTTATCTTCATCTGTGATTTCAGTAGCTGCACAACAAGCTGCTTTGGCTGCTGCTCAGGCTATTGCTAGTCCTCGATCACCATCATCTAGTTCTAGCACATCTAATTTCCAAGCTGCAGTCTTATCCTTGGCTTTAGCTGCTTCGTCCACATGTACGACAATCAGTAATTCTTCTGGTTCTGAATTTCATGAATGTCAACGTTCATTACTTGGTCATTCTGCTATGAATGATCTTATTTCCCTTTCCGAACAACATCCAAAATTACTAACCGCACACCCTACATTAGCATCCGTGTTTAGAAGACGTTCTTCAACGCTTGCTCCTCCATGTTTCACTAATGTACCTAATCCGGTGTGTATGGATGTGGCACCTAGACACGAATTAAAAAATGTCTCCAATGAGGAACCACAGTTATTGCCTTTTCTACCTTCGAACATGACATCTACTCTTGATATTGGGAATTCTCAGCTTCTCAATAGTCAGGTTAGTTTGCTATTTGAAGAATGACTGACTAAGACTGAAATGCTTGCTTGTCATTTAATGTAGACTTCTTAGAATTTTGAGTGCGTTTGCTTGTGATTCCGCCTTGCTATATTGCTCTTAGTAGCATTTGATGAAGCCCCGGGAACAAGTGAAGTTGGGGCTCGTTACGTTTCTTATGTAGCCCCAATATGTGACATTCTGTGATATCAGTTGCTTTTAGGAGCACTTCTTCACCAATTAATTCGTTTACCTAAAAACAATTTTTTTGATTTCCTATCCTGGTAAACCACATTGATTAGAATCAACACACTAAGATATGTATGATCTAGATAACTGTCTATATTCTCAAACAAATAGTCATGATCATCTAGGTTCCTAATTAAATAATATGTTCATAGTACACACGTCATTTATCCATACTTTGTTTGTTTTTTTTATCTCAATTGATGCTAAAGGTAATGTGAAAAAAAAATGGTTTTGCTCACTTTTTCTATAGTTTCAAGTTTCTCTATTGTTTTTCTTTTATTAGCTAACTCATGTTTTTATCGTCTACAAAAAATCATTGTATATTAATTTACAACCATTTGGTCTTCATTATTTCTAAGGAAATTGGACTAGAAGAATTAGTAGACTGTTATCAAGACTGTAACCAATTTTTGTTAGGAAATTGACACTAATTATCCTATCGAACTTGGAAGTTCAATTTTCATTACACAAATCACTGGGATTTGTGCAAATATGTAAAATTCCAACATTAGAGGATTTTTAAACTTAAAATGGTATGATAAAACTTAAAAAAAAAGAATGTAATCTCTTCCTTAACGAGTTTATGGCCTTTTCGTGGATAATCTTTAAGGTTGAGTGATATTTCCCGTTATTTTATTGTTATACACTATGTACACTTATAGGCATAGCGAACTTAATATATTGTCGAAATGTGAGTTCGTCTAATAGATGCCAAAGCAGTTTCTCACTAGAATTACTTGTCATACTCACCATGAAGATCCACTTAAAATAATACCCTAGATGCTTGTTTTTTTCTCTACTTACCCACCTCTCCGTGTTCTGGGTACTTATTTAATGGTTCTAAAATAGTACTCATCTGTTTTGAATTACTTATTATAACGGAATGTAATGCAGATTAATGAATCAGTGATTTGACATTCAGAACTCTTAATTACTAGTTATTTGGCCTAAAAATTGATCTGTGTTTCGCCTACTACTATTTCAGCAACCCTCAAGGAAAATGTATGGCCTAAAGCTACTTCATGAAATCCAGTTTCATTTCACTTAGAAGAATTTTTATTGGCGCCGATGGGTTGATGTCATATGTAGAAATCTTAACTTCGACCAACTTGCTCCAAATGTAGTTCACGTGTGTTGTCTGTATGCTATACAATGTTTTATTTTCTGGCTTCAAAACTTGGTATCTGAAGATAAAAAATGAATCGTTGGTTGTCACCACTTATGTCTACTGATAATTGTTTGCAATTACTGAAACCACTGAGTAGGCGATAAAATGTTCGATACGGATGATTGTGTAAAAATAGTTAATAAATAATAGGCCGATTGGTTCATTCTTTACGTGTGTTCTAACATCGCATCTCATTTGGATGCGTAATATTTGTTAACACAAACTAATCAGAGTAAGCAGCAATATGAATGAAGAGTTAAACTAAAAAGCACATAATATATTAGTTTTCTGGTAAAATATCATTTGAGACAACAATAAAAGTAATGTCATACCAATTGTATGTCCATATTTTAACTACCAATATGCAATATGTAGTAGAAATCGTCCGACATCATGAATTCAATGCTTCCACGTATAAATCATAACATTATAATCTCTCATATTTCCCCATTCTTTTCGGTCATTTACCGTAATACTGAGATCCAACAGTTTGAGTTTCATAGTTCCCCGAATTTTACATTAAATTATTATGTTTGTTTAGTGTTTTCTACCTCACAGTTTTCGTTTATTGCATCAGTAATTTTATACTGGTCTTTTCTTGTTTTAGCAATCGAATCTTTCAGATTTTCCTGAAGCTTTTTCTTTAAACCGTCAGTCAACATCTATTCCAACTTCTTTTCTGAACGATGATTGTATCGAACAACGTGATCGTTCAGATGAATCCTACTTAATGGATATTAATTCAGAAGGTCCCGCCAAAATTACACGACATTATTTATCTGCTTTAGATCCTGATGAAAATGTAGATAATTCCCGAAACTCCTCCAGTGTACCGCACAGAAGTTACGAAGATCCCAATTTTCAATCTTTTTACAAAACATCACCAAAGTACGATTCTCATCTGGTACATTCATCAGGTGTTCACCCATCATTTGATAGAAATTCAAGTAAATGTAATACAAGATATTTTTCTCCTACACCCACGTCAGTTTCAAGTGAAATGGCACTGGCTACATGTCCTCCAACTTCACCACTTAGTTGTTCCTCCTTATCTAATTCAGCGACTCCCCAGTTGAATATTTCTCCATTAAATGTTGAATGTAGAGTTAAAAATCCGCCAATGGATGATTTGAGTGGAGCTACTTCCAGGTCATCAGTTTCCTGCAGGTCATTAAGGACTAACTGTGGAACAGAGTATGATTTTAAAACTGATGAGCCGAACCGCAAACGTGAACAACGTCTTTTGAAAAACAGGTATTCATGGATTCATTTTGACAACATATTGTAATATTAGTTCACTTTCCAATCAGATGTTAGCTCGTTAGATCTTAAGTACACTATATTGATACTAATTAGTTGTAATAAATGACATTGATTTATAATACAACATTCATAAGTCTTCCTCCTTGCAGAAGTATCACTAGTTCATATTGAGCTTTCCCCTTATAATTGCCGATTTACTTTAATAATGCTGTATGATTTCAAAGTATAAATTATTATCAGTGTTATTATATCAGTTTATTAAGCTGGATTTTCACTACTTAGTGTGTATTTTATAAATTACTGCTTGCTATGGTGTTTTGGAACTCCAGTTATAATTGATATAATGATAAGGACTTTTATAATAGTGATGACAGACTGGTTATTTTTAAGTAGCTTAATGAATAAATCAAAGTAGGGCAATTTAATAGACTAAATCATTGTCCTTAGTAGTGTAATGTAATTATCGGTGTTTGAAACATTTAGTTTCACTGTGTAGAATTAGTTTATTTAATAGATTTCTCGATTTTCTTGCGCTTTGTGATATATATATATATATATATATATATATATATATATATATACCGAAAAACGGTCAAAACACTCTTCACTTGGTTTTTCAGTTGCGTCATTTAGCTTGTTACAAATGTCGACGATATTTTTCTTTTCATTTTAGAGAAGCAGCAAGGGAATGTCGTAGAAAAAAGAAGGAATATGTAAAGTGTCTAGAAGCTCGAGTTAGCCTTTTAGAAAGTCAGAATCAACAGTTAATTGAAGAGCTTCAAAAAGTCAAAGCACTTTGCTTTAAGGAGTTATGTGGTTTGGGGTTAACTAGTTCTACAGCTGCATGTGCCGCAGCTGTTTTGGCTGCCGTTACCTCAGTGTCTGCTAACTATTCAAGTTCAGATGCTGCAGACGCTTCTGTAATAGATTCAACTGCTCGATTTTCTTCAGACTCCGATCGTAATATATGCGAAAGATCCACTGAAGTACATCATATGGCTTCCGAATTCGGAGAAGATTTACAACAGTTTCATGATTGTCCACGTTCAACTCGCCAACGCAGACGTTCTGTATTCACTGCACCTAAATTATCACCGTACTCTAATCAAGCTACCTGGTTAAACCCGTACTCCTTGAAGTGTTCCGAACCCGTTTCAAATGTGGCATGTGTTACTAATCACGTAAATCGTTCTTCTCTTGAAGAATCACCGTCACACTCATGTGTACCACAATTGCATGACACAAAAGGTGATTGCACAAACAGTCCTGTTACCATTTCCTATACTTCTCCGGTTAATCCAGATACAATTAGTCCTCATTCAGGTGAACATTTACAACTTCACTGCACTGAATCACACTCCCTTCCAGTGGAAAGCAAAGCGGACAGTAATCGATTACCCCAGGATTCAACACATGAAATGTCTAATGAGTCACAAGGTTGGAAATCACCCCAGTACCATAATTGTGGTAATCCCTACCAGCATCCTCGATATGCGGCCAAAAGAGCTTATCGCAATGTGATATTCAATTCCTCTAATACAAATAGTGAACCCGAAATAAAAACAGATATTGTTGATGAAAAACGGCTTTGTGAACCGGGAACTAATGTTGATGCTGTTACTGGTGCTGCAGTGATATTGGCAGCTGCCGCTGCTATGGTCGCAGAGTCCGAATCTGCTGCACCGGAATCTAGACTGTCCGTTTAGGTGCACTACAACTTTATATTTAATTCAAATCAAATTACTTATTTAACATCTACCTGCGTCTTTCCCAACGAATAGGTTCCGATAAGTAAATTTTTAAGAGAGTATCTTGTAAAATATTTTAGGAGCAACAACTAATTAGTTTCTTGAAATGTTAATTTCGTTCTTAAGTCATTGAAGATATTTAATCTATGCTTTCTCTGCGTTCACTGTCTTCCTTCAGTTTGCCTTTCTTACTTTCTGCGATCATCTTTTTCTACTATACAAGCTTTCCGAATCGTGAAAAATCATTCCCCCAAATGACTGACTCTTGTCAACTTTTTGTGAAACTCAAACTTACTTATCCTTTGAAATATAACATTATGGTTAGCTGTCAAAATATTCATTCATACCGTTCGCTTTGTCTTGTTCCATAAGAGACTACATCATACATTCAGATTCTGTAATCATGTATATTTTGAAAGCTTTATTCACCCTCATCCCGTTGATTTCTATATAAAATCACCTGAAAGATGTAAAATTATTCTTTTTTTTTGTTACATTTTCAAGCGCCTGTGCATTGTTTCTCTTGTCATCCGTTTTACATTTATTTGTTTACTTCAGGTGTGGCTTCTCAATGTCTTTCGTATCATTTGTTATTTTTTTTCTTAATTCATTTCTTGCTTCAGGATGTTCTGTTTGATTGATAACTTACCAGCTATGATTGTAGTATAGTCTATGCGCCATTTCCTTGCCTTGTCATCTTCCTGTCCTAGCGCCTATGATGTGTTTAAGTTTTTGTGTATGTGTACATATTGCTGTAGTTGGACAGTTTTTATTACCCGGTTTTTTATTCACTTCTGCTTTCATTTTATCAAAAGCGCCATTTTCGTCACTGCTAATCATTCTTTTTTCATATACATTGCTTCTGTGAGTACATATATATTTTATTATGATTTTCATATATAGGTTAGTTAAAAAATTAACGTCAGCATAATATTCGAAGTTTGACAAATCTCGTATTTATTAATTTCACTTCCTAGATTTTTCCGATTCCTATTGCATCCGTCAAACCCTAAATTTGATTTATTCGAAAAAAATAATCCAATGAGTTTATTAATGTACTATAATTACCCTTGTATACTGGTTTCTAAGGGATTTTTCAAGTTTACAGAGTACGTTTTAAGGGAATATGGTCAGCTACTATTTTTAAGAGCTGTTTTTTAATTATTAATCTTGTTATCATCAATTATTACTAGATATCCACAAAGACAATCCCATGATTATGAAGATCGGAGCGGCCAGACTAAAACATGGCACAAATCCATGAAGTCACTAACAAATGGACTGAGCTGTCTTAATAGGTTGTAGACTACCTGGTTGGGGTCCGCTAGATAATAGTAATCGATGGTTAGAGAATTTGAACGAAATGATTCTAAATCGTTTGTAATGACGCAGGTGCATCCATTCTTTGTCTTCTCCCAAATTCTAATCTAAACTCATGTCTTTCATCTTTCTCGTCTCGAATCCATTTCACTGGATTATGCTTCTAGAATTGTATATTGGGACCGTGATCTTTTCGATTACTGCTCATACTTCTACTACCTCTACCAATATGGGATTTGAGTCGACAATTGCATCTCTGTGCTATCGCGGTATAACAACTTGAACTGATGTACGTACGTACGAATTTGTACGTTGTAACTGACTGACTTTGAAGATCAGTCATGTAGTTGGAAAAACCGAAGTAATGATATTTATTATCCATCCTTATGTTACTCTCACATCCATTTCATAAATTATGATGAGTTCAGTTTAGTGAATGTGAATTCAATACACTAACTTTTGATTACCATTTCCTAATGTTACTCAATCTCCAAATTGTAAATGCCTGGGAAAGTAAAAATACTTGCGTACATAAAATTTTCAAAAAATGTATCCACAGTTCAGTTCAAACTTCGCTATACCAGACTAACGGTCTATACATAGTATGCTTATTTTCTAAGCTCTAATCAATTTTATTCATCCTAAAATTTAGAAATTTTCCGGTCATATATTTGTGCTGTAATTCTGTCATTTTAGGTCATATATCTTCCTATTTGTAATGCTACTAATTCTACCACTGCTAGATTCATTTCGACAAATTCATCTGTGTGTTAATGTGATGTGGCGACATGAATTGATGCACGTATGTCCAGTTCTACATCGCATGTGCCTGACTAAATTTTGTTCCATTAATTGAGTATGGGATCATAGGCAATAATATTGACGCCTAATGTATACGTTTGAACAGAATTTTCTGAATAATGGTAGTAACGTATATTTCTAATATGAAAGCATAACCAAGTATTCACTATATCCGGTCTAATATATATATTAGAGCCTGGAGAAAATTGTTGAAACGCAGCTAAATCTTTTGTCAAAGTCTACTGAATTTGTGAATAGCAAACTATACTATACCGTGTTTAGCCATTTATCTAACAACGAAATCTCTTCAAGTTTAACAACAGTATTATGATTTATTCAAAAACCTTGGTCAGAACTTTATCATGTTACCGCAACGAAAACATGATTACTACTACAAAAATATTATATCTAAAATATACATGTATATATATATATATATCCTGTTTTTGTTTTGATTTTTACAATATGAGAAATGTTTTCAATAAATATTCCTTTACATTATTTTGCTGGAAAAGAACAGTTGAAAAGCATATTTTTCAGTGTATAGTGTTTTCCTCAAAGTTGCGTAGGCAGCTAGTTTTTATTCAATTCATATTTATAGCTAGTGAGATATTCGGTTGTTTTTGACCTGATCAACTTTCAATCTAACAAAAATATTTTTCGTAAAAAATTATTCTAGCCGCAAATTTCTGTCTATATAGACAACCGATTTTCATTCATTCGTGTGTGTTGTCTAAGTGTTTCCGTAATCATACAAATGAACTTTATTTATCATCCAAAACTGCTTCCAATATAATTCTACTATCATGTTTTTTTTTTAAAAAATTACCTAGATTTTCACTAAGTATTATATCTTTCTGGTTATGTGATTCTAAACTAAACTTTCGTCTTGCGCAGCTTCGTACTTGTTAATGCATATAGTGTACCAGATTTCTTGATAGTAAATCAGTGTTTGTTGTAACGCTGCATAATTATTGAAGCATATTCAATGAATGGTGGCTTCCACATTACTACAATTAATCGCTGTTAGGAATGTGAAGCATTGGTAAAATGAACGGTTAGAGACTCGCATCGGGACCTGAAGGTCATGGTTTCGATCTTTTGTGCGATCATGAGTCCAGTCTGTGATGTGAAAACTGCATAAAATATTTATATACATATATTTTATATTGGAAAATATCTGGTTGTAAATATAGATTAGTCTAATTAACTTTTAATCTGGAGAGTACTACTGATTTAAACCATCAATGAGGAATAGATGCAAAAGTTTCTATCAACAATCTCGTCATAGCTTTCTACTGTAAGAATTAATAGATACAATGAGATAGTATGTCCATATTTCACTTAAATAGTAATTTTCATCGAGAACGTTAAACGAGTGATGATAACTGTCAGATGGTTATAGATTTTTAAGATTAATATATTTTGTTCGATTAGATAAAGCTTTTCATTGTGATCTTTAGTCGCTATTTTAATACTGTCATCACCTTTGTTTTTTCATACTTCAAAAAGACATACAATAAATGGCGTCGGCGTACATAAACTTCTTAGTAGTTATTGGAAAAAGCTAATGTAATAATAATATGCCGAAAATACATTTTATTCAAAAAGGATTTTTACAAAAAAGTAGTTAGAACGTTTCGTGCTCAGAATTAATTGAACGCTAAAGTGTCATAGAGAATGAATGTATAAAGTCAAGCGGTTGAATTTTATATTTGTGTTTTTCTCCCTCTCTTAATTTTTTCATAAATGCATTGCGTATTAGTGTCGATATTTATGATACTTCAAGTTTTTCTATGGTGGTCCAGTTAGGATTAGTGTATGATTTAAACTGAGAATTCTACAAATCACCTGTACTGATAATATATGGTAATTATTCTACTTAGCCTATTCATTTTAACAAAATTTGATGAGCGGTTACATTACTGAATCTGTTAAATTTACAGATTCACTTTTGTGAGATCGACTTTCTTCTGGTTTTTCAAAAGTACTCAGATGAGAATTGTGATGTGTTTATCTTTCTTACATGACTTAGTAAAAATGATACGTATAATAGAATAGTACTGGATAGCACTTTTACAACAACACTCGTATTCATACATACAAATATTTTACAACTGATTAAGTACATTGTTATTTTCTCTTAGTGATGTGATCTGTTAGTTGTTTCATATTCTAATTTCAATATTAAATGTAAAACAACTTGGGATGAATAGGATATTGCATGAATAACTTTATCACGATATTCTGGTTTTACCTTACTCTGTTCTGTGAACAACGTTCAAGATCCAATCATTTAACTTCTCATGAAGAAGTTCAAAAATACCTTGATTATAATCTTTTGTTTTGCATCAATACGTATCTATACTTCTATGTGATAACTTACTAAAATTCATTTTACCTGTTATTTTAGAGTTTATACACTGTACTTTAGGTTCGAAATCGAAACATGTCAGTGAAATCAAGGTGTAGAAGTTAATCCTGACTAACAACATTTACTAAGTACAGATTTATGATCTTAGCTTCTGATCACATTCTAAGTGTAAAAGTTAATAGTACTACTCGATTACTCAAATTGTAGTCGTATACCTTAACCACTGGGCCATCGATTCTCAGTTAATCAATGAAAAAATCGATAAAAGTTACTAGTCATATTTATCGTTAAAAGTATATAGCTGTCACGTGAGTAATTGTGAAATTATGTGATAGAAGTACAAATGTATGTTGAAAACATTGCTTAATCAATAAGTCCCAGTAATAATGAATTCGGGAGATTTTTAATTGATCAATCTAAAGGTTTTTAAAATTTTCAGTAAAACTTCTGCTCATGAACTTGA